CCTGATCAGTTAATATTGTTTTCTGTATTCCGTGACATGCTACAATGTGCCGGATGACTACTTCCGTCACTGTTTTTGCCCGGAATTGGTACGGCGTCTACCCACCGTGTGGCATGTTCTGTCATCACCACCAGGTATTGATTGGCGCTGGCCGTCTGCGGGAACGGTCCCAGATATCACCAACCGCAGTTACGGGAACTGACTGTGATGGCGGCCGTATGTATCGATTATTTTCATTAGTTGGCACCGCTGGCAAGTCAACACATATTGCTCCACATTGTCTCTCATGCCTGGCCAATATGCACTTTGTCTTACTTGATCAGTCGTTCGTGTGATACCTGTATGGGTTACCTGGTGACACTCCTGTATCATCTTATGCCGCAAGTTCTTCGGGATCGTGGTGGTGTTTCATTCTCTGAGCTGGTTGTTTTGATTGTGGAGCTTTCATTGTTCTTCTGAACAACATCATCAGCACAAAATTCGGATAGAAGTGAAGCGTTCAAATTTCTCCACGTTTGACCTGTAGCTTGTCCTGCTAACCTCGATCTTGATTGGTTGTTGCTGACCTTAAACCAATCAAGACCGAGGTTAGCAGGACAAGCTACAGGTCAAACGTGGAGAAATTTGAACGCTTCACTTCTATCCGAATTTTGTGCTGATGATGTTGTTCAGAAGAACAATGAAAGCTCCACAATCAAAACAACCAGCTCAGAGAATGAAACACCACCACAATCAACCACTTGAGCTACAAGTTTTCTCCACCATCTCTTCGGGATCACTGCCACCCAATTCTCATCATCATCTCGCCAGATCAGGGCTACATATGTTCTGGTCCTCAGTCTCTTCTTTTGTCGAAGCAGCATTAATACCTCATTGTTCATAAGCCGTTTGTCAATATCTTCCCCTTCTTTCATCACTCTGGTTACCTCTCGAAGGTTGGGGTCAGCCTTTTTCTGCCGGACAAGTTCTAGTGGGTCTCCGTTAAGGCTATTCACTGCGTATGCTGTCATTGTGAGCTCAGCATCCATCTCCGGCCTCGATAAGTAGTCTGCCACTAAATTTTCTCTACCTGAAACGTGGCCGATACTGAAGTCGTACTCCTGCAGACGTATCATCCATCGCGTCAACTTACCACGGTGGTCTTTTGCTGTTTTCAGCCACTGCAGGGATTTATGATCAGTCTCGACGTGGAACTGTCTACCTAGCAGGTATGGCCTCCTTTTTTCTATTGCCCAGACAATCTCTAAACACTTTTTCAACCGTTGAATACTTCTGCTCAGAGGGTGTGAGAACGCCACTCGCATATTCTATCACACTGTTAAACTGACTTAAGACGGCGCCTATTCCACGGTCACTCGCATCTGTTTCCACTGTAAACAGCTTCTCAGGTCCAGGTAATCGTAGCGTCATCCGGAGGTCGTCCAATAGGTTTTTGATACGGTCAAACGTTTGCTGGGCAGTTTCTGTCCACGTAAACTTAGTGTCGCTTAACAACTTATAGAGGGGTGCTGCTTCTTCGTTAAAGTTCTTGACGAATAGACTGTGGAGCGCCGCCCTTCCAAGAAACTGTCTCAGCTTCCTTCTGGAATTAGGAACGCGATGTTCTTTATGGCTAGGATTTTTTCCGGCAACGGTTTTATTTCTCCGTTTCCAACTTTATGCCCCAACAAGATGACACTACCTTTCGCTATTTGTGATTTGTCCTTAATAATTCGTAGTTCGAATTCTTCAATCCGCTGTAGGACAGCTTCCACATGGTGAACATGATCAGCTTCCGTTCGGCTGTACACCACTGTATCGTCGCCATACACCTCAACATTCTCTAGGTTCTTGAGCAGCAGCACCATTATTCTTCTGAATGTAAACGGTGCACCTGCCAAACCGAACGGCATCCGTCTGAACTGGTACTGCTTATCACGTACAGTAAATGCTGTTTTATTTTGATCACTCTCTTTTATCGGCAGTTGTCTATACCCTGATCGTAGATCCAGTACTGTGAACAGTGGCGTTCTGCAGCCGATCCGAGGTCTCCCCCACGGTGGGCATTGCACATGATTTTAGTTCAGTTATGTTATTAAGTTCACTGAAGTCTACGCAAAATCTGTATTTTCTGTTCGGCTTCTTCACCAAGAGCACTGGCGAGCTATATGGGCTGTCTGCCTCTTCAATTATGCCTTCTTTCAACATCTCTTGTACCTGTCTCTTTATCTCCACCTCCAAATGTGCAGGCATCTGACGTGTTGTAAATACGGTTACTTGCTCGTTCTTCAGTGGAATTTCGTGCTTTACTTTGTCGCAAAATCCGTAATGTTCTCCGTCTCCCGTGAATAGTTTCCCGTACTTTGCACACAACTAGTGAATATTTGGTTTAACGTAACATTTATTATTCCTGTCACCAGTTACTCGCATTGCGGCAATCTCACGCTGCAGCTCATTAATTTTCTTCTCGAGATCATCTTTCTCCGGACTCGCCACCGAAGCTATTGTTCGCGTCATTATCTGTCGAGTCACTTTCGCCAATTCATTTATACGCAATGGTCGTGCGGCGCTAACCAACGTCAGCTGCTGGGAAATGGCGTCCGGAACGCTCTCGATGAACTGCGATGCCAAGAGCTGAGCTTCAGGTTCTTCATCCAAACTCGGCAGCGCGCGAAGTAACAGCCTGGTCCACTTGACTGCCAGCACCAGTGGGTCTCCATCCGCCTACAACTTCACCGCCCTGAACTTCTGAAGTGCCTCCTGCCTATCCACTGGGCTGTCAAACTCCGAGACAAGCCGATCCGTGACCGCCTTATATGTCCTCACCTCGCTATCCAGGCTGTCGTACACAGCCCTCACTCGGCCGCTAAGCAGCAATCCCCAAGCCACCGTCTTCCCCTGCTTCCATCCGGCTAGCTCCGCCGCGGCCTCGAACTCCTTCGGCCACAGTATCGTCATCCTGGCAGCAGCACCAAATATTGTGCACGAAAACCCAGGTGAGGACATCAACAATATATTTAGGCGAATATTACTGAGTTGTTAGGCATATTTACAAAACGTTCCCGTGAATCATCATTTGCAAACTAATCCTTATTTGTTTCAGATTTCAGTGTTCTTTCATTTAGACTGTTCAGACTTCAGTTCACTTTACGTTACCTACAAATCGCCTTATGTTCTCATTCTTTCCTTCTCGATCTTTTGCTGTCAGACGTTTGATTTCCATTTGATACCATATACAACTTATGTGAACAAAAGTAGCGTACACCACAGTACCACCACGTTGTATCTTCTCACTTCTCAAGCAACTTGGAACATTCACTGAGTCTCCCACATTGTACGAACGTTCTATGTAGCTAAACTGATAAATGCTCTTGCTGTCAGAAGGGACATAAGCCTCGTAACTTCTGAAGAAATTTGGTTCATCATTGGCCGACATAAATCTTCTAGACGCAGACCTTCCCACTGCCAGGGCAAAGTTTAAATGTTTTGAATTATTTTTTCTGGTTAGCGTTATTTTGGCGAGTTCGGTTTCTACAAGATCAGGTAGATAACCTCATGCCCTATCCTACTCCTTTATCAAGTCTTGGGACCTGCAGTAGCCCTAGAGTGGCTCCAGGTGGAGTTTAAACCGAAGTTGGATTTCAAATCATCAAACGAAATACTAATTATTCCAATAAATCTATAACTTCGACTAGACACAAGAAAGAATTCTTATTTAAAGTACGCAGCACGAAGGTGTATTGTATCTAAATACAACGTAAAGTTTAAATTGTACATTGTGCTAGTTATTTTCACAAAAGCCCCCGCCTAAAAAACAACGAGCTTTCCAAAGAGATGTAGGGGGTTTTCACTAAGTTTATCCTAAGGGTCACAAAGCTGCTGTATGAAGAGAAATAGGCTGAATAAAGCCTACTTCACTAGTCATACAGAAGGACCAGAGGTGACTTAATAATAAGTTTGCATCATATGTGCTCACATTTTCTAGCCTTCCAAACACAGGATCTACGGCGATGCTTGAAAGGTTCATAACTGTTGGCGGTTTGTAGCAATACTGTTTTCTACAGGATGGTATTGTTGGCCCCGCCCCAAACCCTGGGCCTGCAGTAATCACAGAACGGCTTCAGAGTTACAACCCTAGAACAACTTACCAGTTAGCTGACTACCAACTTTCCCATCGAAGCATCGAAGACTAAACATCATTACATCGGATTGTGATTGAAAATCCGCCTGTCGACTCAATAAAAAGAAAGTTTATGTGAGAGCACACCATTAAGGGAACTAACACAGACAGTTTTCATTTTTACACATTGAATTAATGAATGAATCATTGTTAGACCGCCATAAGGAACCTGGAAGCACTAGACGGCCGTTTTGTTCTGATGCGGGACTCATCAGCAGTGCACATCCATGAATAATGCTACTCGCATGATTAATTCATGATTTCGATATGTAAAAACGATGATATTCATAATACGACGATGCAAAATCAGAAAATGCGCTGACTGGCAACTAGCTTCGTGAGGAAACACTCGGAGTTCTATTGAGAAGACGTGACCGGTGGACCTTAACCTCAACTACGGAAGGCAGTGTCCGAGGCTGCACAAAATCCTTAGATTGACCAGAGTCAGGTACTAAAACTGTTGGATGCCGGCGCAGTTGTTCAGAGGTTAGGCATTCGCTCTCAAGACCGGAAGTCCTGGTTTCCAAAACTGCGAGTAGCAGGAGTCGTGGATGTGCACTTCTGATGAGTCCCATACCACGAAGAAACGGGATTCCAGTCCTTTTCGGGTCTCCAATGGTGTTCAAACTAGTATTGATTGATGATTTCAATGTGTAAAGAGTGATCGCCCTTCTACTTGACTGTCGTTTATTAAGAGAAACCGTGTTATGAATGCTATTTATTGAAGTCCTGCTTCTGAAAGACTTCGAGGAGACTATACATAGGCCGATCTCAAGGAAAAAATAGTCCACTTGACAAAGTTCAAGTTTATATTTGAATGACTCAATAGCGCGCCAAGTGATTTTACGGTAATGGCTTCGGTTTCATCTTCGTTTTCCTTTTCACTTTCTGTTTCCGATTCTGTGAACTTAGTCACGGATTATCTGAACAGTTCATCTCCGACAAAATAATAGATATGGTATTTACATAGTCTCACTCTTTTTAATATTTTTCACCTCGTTAATACAACCTTTCTCCATATTTCAGATTTTTACGGTGTATGGACATTCGTGTGCGGCTTCGGCCTTGGTTAGAAAGTCGACTAAACGACGGATGGATCGAAGGACTAAAATGGGTCGATAGGGAGAAGGGGATATTTAGAATCCCATGGAAGCATCATAGTAAGCACACATGGACGGAAGATGATGCTGCCATATTTAAGGTATATTGTTGAATAAATATTCTTATTTTTCAGGACTGGGCTGTTGTTACCGGGCGTTATCGGGAAGGGATTGACACACCTGACTGGCCCATGTGGAAAACTCGGCTACGTTGTGCACTAAACAAAGCACCTGATATCCAAGAGGTTAAACAGCGTCACAACTTACACTGTGAAGAACCTTTTAAAGTATATCGCTTTGTGAGCAAAACGGAGTCACTATGGCGAGCAAATGCAATTAGGAATGCCAGCATGATCTTTGATGGTATACAGGCAGAATGCAGATATGGTTCATGGAGTGGACCGAACGCTAACAGCTCCCCAATGCATTCTCCGATCCCACTCCCAAGACGACCTACACTGATTGTCCAGAAGTTGTCGGGACTCAAATCTAATTCCCGTCGGTTTGCTTTGGTATGCATAATGTTGCTTACTTCCGTTTAATATTGTTCGCATAACATTTAGGTCTCAATTGTTAACTTAGTTTCCACATGTAAATTCAGAATATATGAATTTAACCATCCAAATCGTATCAATGTATTTTGAAGTAAAATTAAGTTTCATCTCTAAAGGACTAATATTTTGTGTGCTTATCTCGTCTTCAGAATTATTTCTATCGGTAACGGAAGATGGAACAAATCCATGAAGTCACCGACAACTGGATTGAGCTATGTGGGTAGTTTTACATTACTTGGTCAGGGTTCGCGAGACGATAATAACCGATGGTTAGAGACCTTGAACGACATGGCTCAAAATCGTTCGCAATCGCACAGATGCTTACATTCTTTATGTTCTGTCAAATCCTGATCTTTTGAATTTTTATTCACCTGTCTTTCTCTTTCTTAATTTATTCCACTGAATTGTGTTTGGATCATTTCTTGGAACCCTAATCTCCATACTTCTATCATCTCTGCTACTATGGAATTTGAAGTGACAGTTGTGTCCCTGTGCTAATCTGTTATGGCGACTTGAACTGATGTACGTACGTAGGAAGTTCTACGTTGTAACTGACCAGACTGATTGTTTAGGGTTTGGTTTATGGACTGGTTCTGAGTTGGTCATATTCACACTAAGTATATCTTACTTCTTTTTGTCAAAGTAGTTGATTTTGTTCGGATCGGATTGTCTATGCCAGCATAGTGGATATAGACTCACGCCTGTTGTACGCCGTAAAGTATATGCTGCCGACTAGGCGTCTTTAATCGATATCTATGGTCTGATTAACATCTTACAGTGTTGGATAATTTCTATAACTTCGTTCATGTATGTATTTAAAGCAGTTATATTTCTAGAAGTTATGTCAAACGTTTTCCTCTTAGAAAATACTCTATCTTTTGACATAAAGACTGAAGGACTACTCTGTAGAAAGATTTGTAAACGTTTTCAATCCATTTAACTGAACAGTTTGTTACTGTTATATCATTTCAGATCCGAAGGGGTGATGTTCAGCATGTGCAGTCCACTTATCGCCATGCTTACATACTACAAGGTTATCAGCCTAATCCACACAGAATTCATCACAATTCTACTAGCGTGAATGCTAGTCAGAGACTGGAGTCCGATAATGAAAGCATGAACCTAAACAGTTGCGTCAACTTGTCGCCAAATTATGCCGAATGTCAAGCTCCAAACAATGCCATTATAAGTGGCGGCATATCTCTTCCTAATCGTTTTATCCCGGGGATTGGTTCAGTAGATCAACCTGCTCAGTTGTTGCCTGATATTATGGAACCGGAATACCACCAGTTGGGTGTACGTATCCAGCATCTAAGTGTCCGTGTTAGGGACACAATAGTTACCAATCCAAATGGCTGTTGTATTTACTACGGAAGATTTGATGAGGTATTCACTATTTTGTTGACTAATGTATTTTGCAGATCAGCTCACCTGCTGCTCCTGATCCTATTGAAGCACAGATCCCACATCAAATTTCTGTAGCCAACAAGGCCTATGTCGATCTCTTGTTAGATAATATGGTCAGGGGAATCATACTAACAGTTATCCGTGGTAGTATTTACGCTGAAAGGATATGCAAATGTGCTGTTTTTGTGTATATTCCAACTGTAGATGGAGAATACATCTTGGCGAGGAAGCTTGGACGTCGGTTACAGGAAAAAATATTCGACTATGATCAGTTTTTGTTTCATCTGGATTCATATCGTCAAAATCAACAGTCGCGTCCTCATTTCGAAGTTGTACTGGCATTTGGTCAGCAACTGAAACCTGGAATATCTACTGATAGCCTGCTGGTATGGGCTCGTATCGCTAGCTGTCGTGCTTGGTTCCAGTTACACAAAGTAAACACTTTATAATTAGTATTCCATTTTATTATTGAGTGCTGTTTATGAGGTCTTCGGATAAATAGGAGGTATTTATATTTGTTTCTGGAACAGAACATAATGTTTTTTGGTTATGTTGGTTTTATGTCCTTGTTTATGAAATCCTCTTCTTGTCGGTATACCAAGACCTCGCCGACCGTAGCTGCGAACTTAACGTTGTGGTCAGACTTGACCGCCGTGGTGACGCAACCAAGCTATATTGGCTGGAACACATGTTACTGTAGGTTCTTCCACGCCAGGTAGGTCGATTAGAGGATGGTGGGATTAACAGCAGAAACATAAGGTCCCTGTGTGAATTCGTACTGTTGATTGTAGAGGGGTGTGACAGCAGTAAGGTGTTTCCATCGGACAACCAGCGTCTGCAGCGATGCTGCCTTCTCACAAGGAACGAAGAGGTTAGAAAAGATCGGCCCTAAAGATGTCACATCTCACCTCACTCCACGGATTTCCGTCTCCCAAAGTAAGGCCATTTAAAGGATGGAACTACCACTTTAAAACCTCGTAAAAAGGCTGCGTGTGACCGACCTTAAGCAGTTGTCCCTATGGCTTTGCGGTCGCGCTCCCAGGTCGCTATGACCAACGCTAATCGGATTTTCTTTTCAGGTTCCTCAAGTAATACCTTTTCATGGTTTTGGTAACTGGAATGTGACATCTGCCCTCATACCCGTAACAGCACACAAGACTGAATTTTTCACAACAGTATCCTTCGTATACCGAATAACTCTCTTATCTCCACGACCTTCTCTTCTTTCGTTCCTTTGTCACCTCGCGTCGCTGATGCAAACATTCTCCTGAAACCCCACTCCAAACTACACGTTGGAGCCTTTAATGTTTGAACCTTATGTCAAACAGAACAACAGGCTTCCTTAGCTAGGACTCTGGAATGTCGTGCCATCAATGTGTGCTGCATCTCCGGAACGTGCGCACAGGATTAGAGTTGAATCATCCATTTGACCTCTCCTTGTCATGATAAAGAACCAACTTGGTTTACGCTCCATGTATCTGGAAGCCCTACTGATACTCCCCATGACCTCGCTAGTGTAGGTATACCATCAGGTTCTAAGGCTAAACTAGATTTCTTGGACTGCATCCCGGTAGATAGTCGTTTATGCACTGTCAGACTAAATGGAACAGTAAGAACTCGTAAAGACAGTGACACTCGCCGTTGCCTCTTTGTTGTCTCTGCTTACGCTCCCACAAACTGTAGCTGTGATGAGGCTAAAGATGAATTTCATAGAAAGCTTTCGGACCTCCTTCAAAAAGTTAGGCACTGATGTAGTAATGGTGGCTGGTGACCTCAATGCTCAAGTAGGTAGACTAAGCGACAAAGACAAACATCTGGGTAGATCTTATAGTGTCGCGACTCAAAGAGCAGATAATGGCGACCGTCTGCTGCAACTATGCTCAGATGATCGCCCATTCCTGGCAAATACTAACTTGAAGCATAAGGAGAAACATCTTTGACATGGTGACCCATAAAGTTGTCACAACGCTGGACCAGACTAGATCACATCGCTATCAGCCACCGGTGGAGAAGCTCGATAAAAGACTGCCGCTCATCCTGAAGCACATGTTTCGATTCAGATCATGCTCGTATTCGTCTGCATCTTATTGGGCGAAAAAAAAACACAGCAAGTGAGCCCCTTAGACTTCTACTTAACGATAGCAAGTCCAAGAGTTTATTTCAGGGACGACTAGAAAAACAGTTAGGCAGCGATGTGAGTGATGCCCACCATGAGGTAGCTTGAAATAATATCCGAAAATATCTGTAGAAACAGTAAGGAATCCTGTCGAACGATGCCAGAAAAGAATATGGATCCCACTCGAATATTTACATTTCCATCGTGAGCTTAACAAAGCTAACAATCAGCCATTACTCGTCTTAACTCCTTACGGGTTAAGATATTTTGATACCTAGTTGTTTTAATCAAAATCAACGATTATATTTTAGATTTATTTAAGCAATGTTTGACGTAACCGTCAATCCATTAACAAGAGTTATACTAAAAGTTAAATCTATAGAGAAATTTGTTGCTTTGATGTAGAGTTCGGTGTTTATTTGGTACTATGGAAATAAGTTTGACATTGTAGCCAACATATCAAAGGGTTTTGTACTGTTGTATATATCGACCTGTTGTATCTTACGGTCATACCTTTCAGGGAGATGTACATTATATGCTATCATCCTTTAAAATGTCTTCTCATTTTGTCCACTGCTAACAAATTATTCTGGTTCTAATGAACTTCATACTTAAGCTAAATTCCTCTTATCTTTTCTAGGCTCATACACTCACACCAAGTTATGGTGAATGTAACAGTGTTCATTTAAGTAATCCACTATGTCCTGTATACCACCATCATAATGAAAACTCAGAACAGTCAGAGTGTGTTCTTAACCGATTTTCCGTTAGTCAGAATATGAATGGATGCAGTAATTACAATGGAAATCAAACTATTTTAAAATCTGAAGATGATTCTGTCAGTGAACATATTATCCCTACGATTAATTTTACAGACTCTCTAGATCCTGATAGTATTGTCACTGAACAGATAATTGAAGAAGGAGTTGAAGTCCCTTTGGATGATACTGATGATTTAGCTTATAGTGCTTCCGGTTCAGTATTACAAGAAAATCTCATAGTTTGTGTTGCATCTCAAGATGTTGGTTCAGTCCCTATGTGTACTTCGAGTTCTTCAGCTGCTCAAGATGTGTTCCTAGGTAATATTAATCCAATCGATATCAAATCCCACCCACTACTGAATGTCCATGAAGAGATTACAGAGAAATACAATTTACAGTCCAAACAATGATGAAGTTACCTACAAAGCTGTATAGATTTGGTAGTTTCTTGACTTTATTTTATTATTAGAACCTGTTGACAGACAGGTAAATGTGATAGGCCCGCTAATATTTGTTTTTACATATATGTTTACATCAATCATTTTTTTCTATTTTATGTTACTGTAAAATATAATTTTCAATCTTTTCCTTGTTTTGTTCACTGATATTAACACAATTTTATAAAAAAAAGTAGTATACACTGATCAACTTGGAAATTGTATGAAATCATGAACCTGTTTGGTAGTTGATGTCCCAGTATTTGTATCAATAAAGTAGTCTGAACTTTTTTAATTATTAGTTGATTTTCAATCACGTTCATCAAATCGTCGAATCAATTATTTACTAATTGTGTGTATAAAACCTTCAAGTTTACAGAAATATATCGATAATCGATAAAATATACTGATTTATGGAGATATGTTAGATTATCCCATCTATGAAGCCACGTCAGTTTGTCACTTATGGATCTGTCATTAAATATAAAGTATTCTGATTGTCTATTGGACATCTTGTAAAAAAATATTCCTTTAATATGAGAAGCCGTTTGAACTGTACTTACATTTGAGTAACTATAGACATACGACGCAGAACATCGTATGTAAATACATCAGTTCAGGTTGCCATGCCCCATCAGCACAGAGACGCAACTGTCAGTTCAAATCCAAGAGTGATAGCAATAATAGAAGTATTAGCAGTAATGGAGAAGATTAGGGAGCGAAGATATGATTCGAGAAGTACAATTCAGTCAGATAACTTAAGAAGGAGAAAGGTTGAGATTATGAGGAATGCAGAAGGTTAGAATTAGAGATGACACAAATAGTGGATGCACCTGCGCGATTGCAAACGATTCTGAGCCATGTCATTCAAAGTCTATAACCATCGGTGACTATCTTCTCACGGACCCCAACCAGGTAGTGTGCATCTACCAACATGACTCAGTCCACTTGTCAGTGACTTCATGGATTTGTGCCATGTTTCGGTTTGGCCGCCCCTAGCTTTTTTCCAATCTACTCCTACACTGCAAAACATAGCTCGTCGCAGCAGTCGGTGGTTAGCCATACGTAACACATGTCCCAACCACCTCAACTGATGAAGTTCCGCTACTTCATCTATTGATTTGTCGTCCCTACCTAGAACTCGTTTCCTAACGACAGCATTGCTTATACGGTTGTCCCATCATACACGAGCAATGCTCCGGAGACATCGATGATTGAATACTAGTAACCTACGGAAGTCCTCTACTCCTAACGGCCAAGTCTCGCATCCGTACAGTAGGACGGAGCGATCTGCTGCACAGTACACTCGTCCTTCGGTTAGCGAACGGATATCTCGCCTGCGCCATAGGTGACGCAGGTTGGCAAAAGCCAATCGAGCCTTCTGTATCCGAGCTGAGATTTCGTCAGTCACCAGGCCATCAGTGCCGATGAGACTCCCAAGATAGGTGAAGCAGTCTACACGTTCGACTACTTCAATCCCTATCTCTAGTTCAGGGGCCAATGCAACCCAATCCTGAAGCAACACATTGCATTTCGAATGTGAGAACCACATCCCGAACATGCTTGCATTGTTGCTTAGGGTTGTTCAGAAGACTGCATTTTGTCAGTGTCTTCACCAAGTAGGACAATGTCATCGGCATATTCTAAGTCGATAAGCGAGCCTCCTGGTAATAGGTCTACTCCTGAAAATTCAGACGAGGATAAGGTTATTTATATGAGCATGTCTATGATAAAATTAAACAAGAATGGAGAAAGTGGACATACCTAACGGACACCACTTGAAGTAAAGAATTCCTAGTCTCACTTACACTAGGATTCCTAATACCAGTTTCCTTGATAAGTCGGGAAAGTTGTCTAGTGTTGTCTTTCGCCGCTGCCTTTTCCATCGCTTTTGCTTTCGCCACCAACTACTGTTCACAGTCGTCGCGTAGGCTTTTTATCAGCTTGCGCTTAAGCTGACTTCGTTCTTCATCATGTTCAGAGCCAGACGGGATGAGTTTTCGAGCATCCGTCAGTTCGGTCGATGCTGCAGAGATCCATGGCTTCATTTTAGCCTTATGGTTAACCTTACTAGCAGATATCACTGCTGTTTCCACAGCCTTCTTGATATCATTCCAACCTGCCTCCGGAGGGGAATCGCTTAAATGGTCGCCTAACTGTCTTTCTACTTGTTCCTGAAATATATTTTTCGCCCTATTATCATTAAGTAAAACCCTAAAAGGCTTTCTTACGGTGTCTTTTCTACGCCCAGTAAGCCTCAAACAAATACGAGCTCGCACTAGGGCATGATCTGAATCTAAACATGTGCCCCAGAACGAGTGATAGTTGCAACAGACGGTTGCCATTGTCTGTTCTCTGAGCCGCGAGACCGTAAGATCCACCTAGGTGTCTTTCCTTCCACTTAGTCTACCTACTTGAGCATTGAAGTCACCAGCCATTATTACTATATCTGAGCGCCCAACGTTTTGAAGGAGGTCTGAAAGCTTTCTGTAGAACTCGTCTGAACTGCAGTCAGTGGTGGCATAGGCAGATACGACGAAGAGGCAACGACGGGTGTCCCTATCTTTCCGAGTCCTTGCTGTCCCGTTCAGTCGGACGGCGCACAAACGACTATCTACCGGGATCCAGTCTAGGAGCGCTAGTTCAGCCCTACGACTCAATGCTATACCTACACCAGGGAGACCCCTGGAAGCAGCATTAGGGCTATCGGATCTACGAATAGTAAATCGGGCTGCTTCTTTGTTTTGACAAGGCGAAATCAGATTAATGACTTTACTAGGATCCTGTATGTGCGTTTCCGAGACGCAGCATACATCGATGGCGCGTGATTCTAAAGTTCTAGCTAACGAAGCCTGTTGCCCTATTTGACATAATGTACGTACTTTAAATGCTCCAACATGTAGTCTAGAACGGGGTTTCAGGAGACCAGAAATGACGTTTCGTGAACTCGCATTGTTTGCATTAGCTGTGCAGTGTGATAAATGAATGTGAGAGTTAGTCGCGGAGATAAGAGAGGTACTAGGGGGTGTAGGAAGGATTTGATTTTGACCAATTTGGTCTCGTGTGCTGTTACGGGTATGAGGGTGGTTGCCACTTCCAGGCTGCCCACAGCGTGGAAGGATCTTATGGTCTCGCGGCTCAGAGAACAGACAATGGCGACCGTCTGTTGCAACTATGCTCAGATAACCGCCTATTTGTAGCAAACACTAACTTTAGGCATAAGGGAAAACATCTTTTAACATGGTGATCCCCAAAGTCGTCATAACGCAGGACCCAACTAGATCACATCGCCATCAGCCACCGATAGATAGGTTCGATAGAGGACTGCCGCTCGTTCTGGGGCACATGTTTAGATTCAGATCATGCCCTAGTGCGAGCGCGTATTTGTTTGCGACTTACCGGACGCAGAAAAGACACCGTAAGGAAACCTCTTAGGGTTCTACCTAATGATAACAGAGCTATGAATATATTTTGGGAACAACTAGAAAAACAGTTAGGAAGCCATGTAGTGAGTGATGCCTATCCCGAGACAGCCTGGAATGATATCCAAAATGCTGTGGAAACAGTAGTGACATCTGCTAGTAAGGTAAACCACAAGGTTGTGGAGAAGCGTTGGATTTCAGTAGCATCGACCGAACTGATGGATGCTCGAAATCTCACCCCGTCTGGCTATGAACATGATGAAGAACGAAGTCAGCTTAAGCGCAGGTTGACAAAGGCCGACGCAGCGAACGCGAACAGTGGTGGGTGGCAGCAGCAACAAATGCAAGAGAAGACGACCAGTGTAGCCTCAGCAACAGCGTGCTTCAACGTATATAAAGGGAAAAGCAAGATTCTGCTACACAACACAACATGCGCCAACCAAATCACTATTGATGGACACGCCTTGGAGTACGTTAACACCTTCACATATCTGGGCAGCATCATTGATAATCAAGGTGGATCCGACGCAGATGTGATGGCGCGGACAGGCAAAGCAAAGACTGCATTTCTACAATTGAAAAATATCATTAACTCCAAACAAATATCAATCAACATTAAAATCAGAATTTTCAATACAAATGTCAAGACAGTCCTACTGTATCGGGCGGAAACTTGGAGAACTATGATAGCCATCATTTACAAGGTACAAGTATTTACTACCAATTGTGTTCGCAAAATACTTCGAATCTGTCTACCAGACACGATCAGCAACATCCTACTGTAGGAGAGAACAAACCAGATTCGAGAGGAGGAGGAAATCAGGAAGAAGCGGTGAAAGTGAGTAGGACACGTTGTGGAAAACAGCGAACTGCGTCACAATACAAGCTCTCACTTGTAACCCCCAAGATCAGAGGAAAATAGGAATGCCAGGTAACACATTACGCCGAAAAATAGAGAAAGATATGAGAAGAATGATCAAAAATTGGACAGAATTAGAAAGGAAGGCTCAGGACAGAGTAGGTTGAATAATACTGGTCGGCGGCCTATGGTCCATTGGGGGTAATAGGCGTGAGTACGTAACTAAGTAAGTAAGTAATGTGCTCGGAACAAGATTGAGCTTGAAAATTATGTGTGATCTGATATTAGCGTATCATATAGATGTATTTAAAGTGGAGCTATTTAGTTTTCTTGTCGATACTTTCTATGGTACTTATGAGTAGCACAGATGACTAAGGTAAAATAACGACAGCGAGATGCTAGGAACATGATATTGGTCATCTGTAGTCTTCGAATTTTTACAAAACTTCATCTTTTTTCATACTTCATTTGATCTTGACTCTAAGTGAAAAGTATTTGGAGTATAGGTTTACTGATATTTTCGTGTATCTTGAACGTAAATTTAACCCACTCACATGTTGGGTTGTTTGCATTAATATGAGAATGTTCACAAGGGCAATCAATGCTTCGTAATCAGCAGGAGCTTATTTCTATGACTCAATGTCTTCAAAACATTCACATGGTTCTGGTGATTCTATTAGTTTAGATGCAAATCTTTATTTCCCTGGATTCCACTCTTTATGAGCAGTAGTTAACTTATACTGGCGCGTTTTGAATTATTAAGAATAGCTCCCTAGTCGTCCTTGAACCTCTATGATTCTTCAAGTGATATAAATTAGCCTCTAAAGACCCTAGTTTGCTCCCATTTCTGATTCAAACTTCATCAAAACTAATTCGTTTGACATTTTGGGTAATTTTGAATGATAATACTGATAGGGATAGGTGTTCAAGAATGAAACTGTTGACTATTTCTCACTTACCTTTACATAACGATGGGGGATATTGATCCGATATAAGTTTCAGACACTTGTTGAGATCAGTATTGCATGCTCAGCAAGAGCTAGTAAACTGATA